AACACCAATCTCTAACATGTACAGCAAAACAAAGAGCATGGCGCAGATCAGATGAACTAACATCGAGAACAGAAGAATGAATATCATGACCCACAACTGTTAGCAGATACAAATCCCTTCTAATACGCTTTGGTCAGTCTGTTGTTATCTCAAACCCTTCGAGCCCCACGTTGGGCGCCAAAAAGGACTGTCGTGGTTTAACCTCAGCCGGCAGCTAAACACCACGCAGCCGCTCGCTCACTCTCCGCCCCCCGCTGGGATGGGGGAGAGAATCGGAACAGTAAAAGTGAGAAAACTCGTGGGTTGAGGTAAGAACAGTTTAATAATTGAAATATTATAATGATAATGATAATAATGATGTAACAAAAAGGAAAAATAACAAAGAGAGATAAATAAAACCCAAGAAAGACAAGTGATGCAAATGAAAACTATTGCTCACCACCAACGACCGATGCCCAGCCAGTCCCCGAGCAGCAGCGCCCCCACCAACCTTCTCCCAGCTTTATATGCTGGGCATGACGTCATATGGCATGCAATATCCCTTTGGCCAGTTTGGGTCAGCTGTCCCGGCTGTGTCCCCTCCCAACTTCTTGTGCACCCCCAGCCTACTCGCTGGTGGGGCGGCGTGAGAAGCAGAAAAGGCCTTGACTCTGTGTCAGCACTGCTCAGCAGTAACGAAAACATCCCTGTGTTATCAACACTGTTTTCAGCACACATCCAAAACACAGCCTCAAACTAGCTGCTGTGAAGAAAACTAACTCTATTCCAGCCAAAACCAGCACACCATTATAAAGGCTTTTAAAATATTTACTGAAGTTCCTTTGGTTTGGCCTAAAATCATCACAGATTAAGTGTATCAAAAAGGGTCCAGGGATGACCACAATGAAGATTTATTTTTTTTATGAAAAAAATCATATAAAATTCAGGATTTCCAGCGTACATTTTGGAGCTGGTCTTTTGGAAGTACTTGCCTAGGAGTAGAGGAAGGGAAGAGAAAGACGCCAGAGAAAACAAAACATAAGCAGAAGGTTGAGCATGGCCAGCTTTCAAATCAAGATGGTTTAAGGTGCATGAAGAGACAGGAGTCAGGTTTGTAGCCAGGATATGAATGAATGACTTACTTGAAAAATAAAACGAAGAGCAGAACATAACAGCTCTCTCCAAAAGTGAGCTGAGAAACAAATACAGGGAAGATAAGTGGGATGTGTCACAGGTAAAAACAATAATTATGAGAAGGCTGGGAGGCTATTAATTGGCAGCATTTTCTAGGACAATTTTGATTTGCAGACATCCTTTCAGTGGCTGTTGGCATTTCCTCCTTTGGCTGCATTTACTCAGATGTGTAATGGAAACAGGAAAAGATACTCGAAGTTTAAACGTAGTCTTTCAAAAGCATGAATATAAGTACGCATAAACCATGGGCTGCTTTTAAAGTCCAATGGAAAAATGCATAAATTCAGGAAATGGTATAAATTGGCATAACTCTATTTGATGGTAATATAGCCATTTACCTTAGGTGAGTATTTGGCTCTCTTTTGCTCATATTGTGCCAAGACTTTCACACTCTCAGGGAGATTTTATTAATATATTTCTAGCTATTTATTGAACCCCACCTGGCAGGGTTCAAGTACCTCTTCAGAGATGCTGAAAGTCCTGAGTTGACACTGGAGACCACGCACCTCAGAGGCTTTCAGAATTGGCCAGAGCATGTTTTGCACTGTAGACGACCAGACCCTTTGTGTTCGTCTTAAGTAAAGTTGATGTCTTGCATTTTGTTTGATAGTTTCACATGTAATGACCTTGATACGTTAACGTGCAAGATTACTAATGAGCAATATTATGAAGAGCTGAGAGTACTAGAAATCATATGTGGAACAAACCAACTTTGGGGCTATAGAAGTCCTTTTGGACAAGGACTACTTCTTTTATTTTTATTTAATAAACACCTAGCATGCTTAGGCCCGGCTCTGCGGCTGCAGCATTTATCAGTTTTCACCACTCAAATGATATAATACAACGTGTGTGCACGTGAAACTTCTAGCCACATCTTAAACCAGTATCTAACTTAGAGCATACAAGTAAACCCTCGTAAATGAATGGAAATAGCTATGTGTTTTTGAACACTGCCAGAGCAGAACGATTGAGGAAGGAGGTATCGACAGCCCTCTGAACTCATTAATTCTCAGGTTGGTCCCTACAGACGGTGCACGCACTGGGACATGAAGGGATCAATATGGGAAACTCTTGACCCGCTGTTGAGCCAGGACGCTCCTCCTGGACCTCCCTAGCACAGAGTGAAGGAGGAAGCTGAACGAGGCGATATCAGCCCCCATCAGTCCCCACCTCCACAGCGTTTATAGGGAAATCAGAGGACAGGGTGTCACCTGAGATTGCAATACTAACTCAGAATCACATCGTGATTTAATTGAAAAGCTTGTACTGCATGGAATTAATACGGAAAGGATTGAAACCTGGGTCACTTATAGATACAAAATGGAGCTGTTATTAGGAACTTACAAAAAAAGCCTGGCCTTTTTACTGGGCTCCCTAGAGAGTGGCTCCATCTGATGAAAGATCATTCTAGACACTGACATCGCATCTGTGCTAACAATGTGCGCAGGTGACAGAGAACTTGGCAGGGTGGTAAATAAGGAAAAAAAGTTACCTGTACTGTGCAAGCTGAATGGCTTAATTAGCTTGCACGACAAGCACGATGCATTTTAATAAAAGTAAAGAGAAAATAATACACATGGAGCAAAATTGCAAGTTCTGGTTTGAGGATGGGAGACTGTCTCGGTAAGCAGTCACACAGGGAGGTATTTAGTAATCTGTGGTAATCGCCTCAAGATACCTCAAGGTATCGCTCAGAGTAACTCCATGGACAAGAGAGCAAATGTCCCGCCGGCATCTGCAGATATCTTGGATCTTGGAGGTACAAAACAGGGCATCAAGCAGCAAAGTGTCTGTGCCCATACATGTAACGCTGAGTGTAAAATGTTATATCCAAGCGGGATAGTTGCATTTCAGGAGGAAATCGGAAATTTGAGAAAAAGATAAAAATACAATAAAATGAAGTAAAAGCTACAAAGCAAGTCTCATTATATGCGAGGAATTAAACTTACAAGTTTAGAAGAGAAGATCACTATGGATAGACATTTAAAGATTGAACAGCTATTTGGTGGTGTGAGCTTTTTGACCTTTCCATAAAGGCATAATAAAATCTAATCACTGGGAAGTGGAGTTTGAGAAATGGAACTTCAGAATAAGATGTAATTAAGATGATTAACTCCCGGTATCATCTTTCTACTGGATGTTCCATTCTGCCATCACGGTTTTGCACCTCAAGAAATTATGAGAAATTTATGTCCAGCCACAATTTCAAATTTGACTTTAATTTATGGAAGAAAGTCTGCATGTTCTGATTAAACAAAGACAAAGAAGCCAACAAAACCAGCTAAGAACTACCTCTGTATTAATTAAACAGCATTGGTCCTTATCTGCTTGTTGATTTTATGTTAATGATCATACCAAGCAGTTAATGCAAGGGATCACACAATTGCAAGAACCAAAGCATTACTCTTTAAATCATAAAAAACCTAAAAGTAAACATAAATGAAGCCTACAATAATATTCTATTACAAATCCATTACTGGTCCAAACTAAAATATTTATTTAATGAACAGAAATATCTAACCACATTTAACCGTTCGGATGTATTTTGGCTTTCTTTGTGTTAGAGCATATTTCACACCTCAAATGAATCCATCAACTGTTTACTTCAGAATGCCAGGCTTATTATGTCCACTGTTTTTTTACCAGCCTATAAAATCTGTTTGTCTTTTACATTTTAAGGAAATAGAGAGAGTTTCATAAACACCATATGCACTACTGAAGACAAAACTTTCCACATCTTTCGGAGTCTTTGTTTCGTGCTGTTGAAATAGATCTTGGGTTTAGATGGGTCAAAATTCCTAAAAACAAACCTCCCTAGAAATATATTAAGGATGGATTAACCTTTGTGATGTAACTTTTGTGGAGGCATATGAGAATTTCTTTATAAGGTCTGACCCAGCTAGTAAGCCATTTATCCTTTTAGCAGAACAATCATGACGAAAAAGGTTGAGCTGATGGGGTAGATACTAGTTAATATGTTGTTAACATGTATGACACAGTATTCAACTTATTCTTTAGCATCTGCACGCGTCTAAATAAAAGGTCTGAAGCCAGTGTGATATTTCATTCGCTGCTGGGAGCTAAGCTGCTGAAGGAAGTAGCTTTAGCAATAATAACACAGAAGACTAGGCTGTACTGGTGATACCAGCAGATGGGTTACCTCTCCATTCGTCACCCAGCTCCCCTGCATCCCTACTGTATCTGCTCCTGATGGGAGATGTAAGATCCACATAGACCTAAAATGCCTGGTTTTGAAATTAAGACCTCCATTGAGCACCTTCAGTGAGAGCTGGATAAGCTGCTTGACTCTTCCTCTAGCCGAATACTGATTTAAATTCTTTGGATATTAACCTGACTGCTAAGATGAAAATTACTTGAGCCAGCACCATGACATCTGTTCTGTAATTGTGCATGGGGACAAAAAAGGTGAAAGATAATTTTTCAAATAAAAGTACTCCTGTGTGATTGCTGTGTGTGCCGTTATTGTGGTTTGATTGTATTTTTGTGAACAATAAAAGATGGAATTTGACATAGTAAAATACATAAAAATCTGTCCTTGAAAGTCACAAATTGTTAGATTAATTTAGCTTGGTAAGGAGGGTTAAAGAGAAACTAAATACCTGTGTGTGCGTGAGCGTATGCACGTGCACGTGCGTGTGTGCGTCTGTGATTGCAGGGGACTTGTGTGTTAACATTTCTGATAGAGGGATATTTATCCAACAAACCACAATCAGACAAATCTCTGCTTTAAATAGGACTGTGACCATAAGATAAGGCACGTAAAAAGCTATCTTGCTATCTGGTGCTATCAGGGCAGAAACATGAAATTCTTATGGTCAATTGCTCCAGCAAACACATTCTTAGCAAAACACAGCATCGGAGAGCTAGAGCCAGAAGAATTTAGAATAAAAATAAGAGGTACAGTTTGTGTAGCGAGGTTAATTAACCACTGAAACTACTTAATAAAGTGTAGCTGAGTCTTCAGAACTTGGAATTTCTAATCAGGGTGTACAGTGTTCTCTACAATATATCCTAGCTTAGCTCAGGATTATGAGCTTATGGTAAGAATCTATGGGGAGAGCCTGATCTTTCTCTGGGATGATCTTTTGGCCTTAAAAAATGTCCAGAATAATTCTTTGAAATGATACTGACAAAGGTACGGACCCTGGCCAGTGTCTGAGCACTGCAATCAGTATATTCCCCCAGTCTAGCTTGGTGGAACCTCATCTCATGTCCTGGTTTGTGATGCCTTGCTGAACTCGCACAAAGGGGCTGCTCTCATCCCGTGATGTGGAGAAGCAACCCAACCAAAACTTCAGAAGTTCCAGTTTACGTCTTTTTTGAGAGGAAGTTCTGTATTATCTTCATCAACCATAGGTATCAAGAGGGAAGCGACTTGCTGGCTCTGAGTGGGAGGGAGGACACGATGACCTCCAGAGGTCCCTTCCAACCAACATTTTTACGCATCCGTGAGTTTGCTTGCTCAGTATTACTTAAAATATACACATTTTCAGGTCAGTCACAAAATCTGAGTACAGTCACTGAAGTGGTTTTTTTGTTGCTTATAACCTCCATGAGCAGAAGTTAGTCTTACATAATTAGTACTTTATACGACCTTCCCAACTAAGATAAATCAGACTTTGGTGACAGAAGGTTGGCAGTTTCCTCCACACTTATGCAAAGCTTCCTCATATAGTCTTGGAAAATTTCAGACATACCTGAAATGAATGGTGGATGCAGGTTTTTATAAACTCTGGAAATGGAGATTTAAAAAAAAAAAAGAATGTGTCTAATTCTGGACATTAAAATTATAAAAAAGTTTACTTTGAAGCGCCATACTTGACACTGTTTTTAAGTTTTTCTTATTAAAGTTATTTATAATGTTTTGTTGAAAACAAGAACTAACTTTTCCTGCCTATAAATTCAGTTATGAAAATATTTAAAATGAAATTTTACAGTCCAAATAGCTGACACAGCATAGTACTTTCAGCATCTGTATTTCCATTTTTGCTTTGTGTATCCTTATACTCACAGAGTAGAACAACAACAACGCGATGTGGTCATTCTTTGATGGGCAGATCTTCCAAGAAGCACAATCAAATTCAATTTTTTTGTATCATCATTGCTTAAAAAAACACTAGTTGTAGAATAGATTAAGTAGGAAATTAAAAGTAAAACAGGACACATTCTTGTATGAGGAAACGCACAGGACATTAAGTTAACTCCATACTAAAATAAAGATGGTGAATCATATGTAAGAAAGAAATACAAATAGTAAGACTTTTCTGTAACTGTCAAAAAATATTTTCTCTTTTATATATGTGTATATTTAAAACTCTTGCTCTTTTAATATCCACGAGAGAACTAAAGGTGCCTGGCAAAATAAATCATGTGAGAATTTCAGTACTGGCTGCTGCAGAGCCAGAGGAGGTTTGGACAATGCTTTGGAAAAGTGAAGTGTTGTGGAAAATATTACAGTGTTGTGGAAGAAGTAATAGTTTATTAAACATAAGGGCTGCAAAAATGAAATGATGTGTGGTCTGGCAAATGTTTTCTTTTTAAAGT